AAATTAAAAATAAATAAACATTATAAAAAAAAAAAAAATATAAGCTGCAAGCAATTTGGTTCTGAAAGAAACGATTCACATCACATCCTATACGGTTTATAAATATATTATAGATCTAAACATATACATATATCATACAGACTTCTTCCACACGGAATTGATATCTATAGATGTATATGTGTATTGTATTCGTCTAACTCTTTGAACCTCATTCATTTTCTATCGTCATTGATATTAAAAAATGAATATTCTTTCCCATTTCCATTTTTTAAATATATATTTCGAATATTATGCTCGATAGGACTGAACCGCTTTCAGACAGATTATAATTGGAATTATTTAAAATACAATTATCTAAACTTTTTTATTGGCATATATTTCTTGCACTTATTAATTAGTGGTAGGAGTTCTATGTTTGTTAAAGCATCAAATCAAATATGAATCATGCAAATTTAATTCACAGAGAAAAAAGAACTTTATAAATGTTGTCTTTCCACATAAAGTTACAAATTTTATAACGCTAAAAATAACTCTATATCCCTCTATATAAATATATATATGATGGAAACTATATTTGTATCAATCCAATGTTTCAGTGTGTGCTTCTCTCTGAGTCTATATCGATGGCATATATGTATGCTGTTTTTGATTTGACTTTTGGTTGTTGTGTAGGGTCTTGAGATGGTATTAACAAATATATGATATATCATATATAATACATATACATGTGTATGAGTATAAATTTACAAATACCAAAAACGAAGAAAACATATTGAATTCAAAACATTTACAAAAAGAATTATTCTTATATATACATATATATATAAAACAGGAACCCAAATACAAAGATTTGTAGCGTTACAAATAGCCCTAAAAACAAAAACAAAGTAAATGTCTATAATATGAAATGAAAAATAAATTATATCACGTTATAATAAACACATTCTATTCAATTTTATTCAAGAAGTTTGGGTTGTACAATAAATATTTCAGAATTCCATTTTTGGTACGCCGCTGATCTGTAATAAATAAAAGATATAGTTTAGTTTACTATGGCCTTGAAATATATGATTATTGTTTATTTATTTACATCAGACTTGTGTAGCCTACATAAAAGATTCAGTTATATGCTTGTCGAAGTTTGTTCATCAGCTCAGTTCCTTTGTGGACAAGCTAGAGCAAACTAGATAAAAATCTTACCTGTTTAATATATATTTTTTTTGGTAGCATTCCAAATTAACAGCCTAAAGACGTTGATCTGCAAATAAATGAATAAAATATTATTTCAATAAGTTAAAATTAAAAAGGAAACAATGTTTTCTTTTTTATTTATCAGCGAATAAAAACCAATCGACATTATTAAATCCGACTGGGGCGGTATGTAAAACATCATTAAAAAACACAAAAAAAAAAAAAACTTTGTTTAAACTTATTTCAATGTTTTATATAATTACCTTTAACTAAGGCTCGTCTTTGGATAGCTCTATCAAGCTGCAAAAGAAAAGAAATTCTAATTAAGACATATTTTATAATATCTATCGACAGTAGACTTGTTTTTATATTTCTATCAGCTTATTTTATCATCAATTATTCTTATGACAGGGATAACTGTTTGGCTTAAATAAAATGTTCATCATAGTCAATAACAAATTTGTAGTCAGGATATAAGCAACTAACCTCTTAGAGCCGATCAAGTAATGCTCCAATTGAAGATGGTGCTCCGTCAGCCTGATCTGTAAGAGAATAAAAATATATAATTTAGTACAAAAAAACTATAAAAAATATAGTTATTATATATTACAGTCAGTCGGGTTTAAAGCAACACATTTAATTCAGTTATATGCTTGTCTATTTTATATATCATCACTTAAGATAAAAGATGTTTAGAATGTAGCCAAGGCCTACCTTCATCATAGTACCATCGCATGGTCTTTTCTCATTATTTTCTTCAAGACAGTGAAATCTGCAAAAAAGAAACATTTTTTAGCATATTATTCTTTTTAGATGTTTATACTGTTAAAATATATGTAATATAATATCAGTGTAAACCGAGTCGTCATTATCATTCCGACTGGGGCGGTATATAGAACATCATGTTAAGCATTTAACTTAAATAAATACACATATATTTCTTGGGGATCTTTCTCTGTTTAGACTGCCCTATATATAAAAAGCTAGCTTGATAAACTTACCTTTTAAGAAGTGGAAGAAATTCATTTTTCTGCACATCAGATCCATATCTAAAATTATACAAAAATTCCTCATTAGTTATATTAACTTTACAAAATTAAAATTCTCATTTGATTAACTTTTTTCAGCTTAACGTATCATCAATTGTTTTTTATGACAGGGATAACTGTTAAAATAGGTTGTTCATCATACTGTTTATAATAAATTATATTTTACAATAGATCTTAACTTACCATGCGGAAAAATTCGAAAATAAGCCAACGTATCAACACGTGGATATGAAGCTCTGAAAATGATATACACATTATTAGTACAGTCAAATGTATGCATACATTGATATTTCTTTAGATATATCAGTAACAAAATCCAATCTTCATTATAATTCCGACTGGGGCGGTATTATTGTTCATCATAAAAAATATATTTAGTAATATTTGAAGAAACTAACCTAACATATCCCGGCAACACGTGTGGTAGGGTTTTCATGGCATTTCAGTAAAATTTAAATCGTTTTCTGCATCCATTTTCCAAGTAGCCGCCATTACCAGGCTATTTGCCTTGTAGAATATCTACAATGAATTTAAATTAGTTAATTTACCAAAATTACAATTTAAGAAAACACAAAACACGTGCATAAATTTTATCAGCTTTGAAAACCAATCAACACGTCTTTTCAGACTGGGGCGGTATTTATAAACATCATATTAAAAACGGGCACGTGTTTTGTTAAACCAAATTAATAATTTAACATACCATTTCAGACAATTTTTTAATTTTTAGGAGCGTTTGCCAAACTTGACTTTCTTCTAGCTGTTGTGTTGAGGAAAAGAAATGGTTGCTGCAATGTGACCAAAGGCAGCAACTTAAAATCCGCCGAGCCCACAGTGGTGGCTCGTCGATATATTTATAACATGCACAGCCAACTTCATGTAGCGCCACTTTGAGCGAATCGCTGTTTACGTATTTGAAGAATGGCAATTATCGATAACAGCCATTTGATAAATTTCATCTGTCGATTCACTTGACACTCGCGCCCATTTGTAAAATTTTGTATGCAGTGCAAATTTTTAATAATAAAATTTAGTATTAAAAATGAACGCGGACACAGAAGGGGACTCGGAAGTCTGCATAACATTTGATGAACTGAGATGCTTTGATGTTGAGGACATACCAACGTGCGTTTCAGTAAAATCTGCATTGACAATATGCGAGAAAAGTGTAGCAGATCTTAGCGCAAAAACTGTGGAAGTACTAAGTTTATGGTTGCGAAAACTACTCAGAGGCTATTTAAATGATTATGAATGCAACATACAGATTTTTAAGTGTTTGTATGAGTGGCTGATGTCTCTGGTAAGTGTTATTTGATATTTGGTTGAACTATGACTGATCTTGATTATTTCTGTTATAGAAGGATGATGTGAGTCCTGAGAATAAAGAGGCCTGCGCTGATTTTATTTTAGTTTTAACTGATGCTGTGGACTTTGCTGAGTGGGCAAAGGTAAAGCTGCTAGCAACTGGCGAACGATTGATGCACGTAACAGTATTCCTTCTCATGGCAATCGTCTATAGCTGCCTTGAAATGTGGTGGGATAAAAAATAATAAATATAAATGTAAATTGATGGATCTATGTAACTGTGCTCCTTTGCTTGCAGCAATGAGTACCATGTAGAGGCGCTTAAGGAGCATGAATCCAAGGCTATAGAACTGCATTTAAATGTATTAAATATGCTGGGAAATATTACAAATTCATCCACTCGAGTCCATCCGCGCGTTACACCACGTATGTTTGGTTATAAAAATATATTGATATATCTGAATAATGCAACATTATAAACTTTCACAGTATTACGCCACATGATAGAAATTGCAGACTTTCTTAGTCTTAATCCTACGCATCTAAATGCTTTTGTAAAGACCAGCAAGACTATGACCGCTATATGCGCTCACTATAATAGCATGGAGGCCAGCCAGGATGAAATGAAAGCCATGCCTGAGTGGATGCAGGACACGTTGCTGCATCTCTGTGATACAGTGCTGAATCAACTTGAAACAGTTAATGATCAGGTTAAGTTCCATCTATTCATCTATGTAGCGTAACCCTATTAATCTATAATCTGTTCACAGAGCTCCTCAGTTCCTGAAGAGCAAATGAAAGTTATACATGTCTATCTAATTATGATACACAAATTATTAAGCACTGGAGCTAAACATATGGATACAAATGTTTTGGAGGGCCTTTTCTTGATACTGAGTGGAGGTGAAAGGTAAGATATATACAGAACTATTTAAAATAGAGCTGACTTAAACTTGAAGTGTATTTTTCTGCAGTAAGCCAAATCCTGATATAAACCCTGAAATTCAATCGCTCAAAGCCAAATATATGCATCCATTTATTATGCAACTTTATAAGCTTCTCTATCAGCATGAAGATTTCCAAAAGGTAAACTCTGTCTCTAACTAGCAAAGATTTTACTTATACATGTTAATTTTGTAGTATTTGATCGCTTGTCTGACTGAGTCGGCAAATGCAAAAGTAGCCTACGATGATATATGCTTGGACTATGTAAATGCTTGCATTATAGATGATACGGAGCTCAGTAAGCTTACTTATAAAACTTTATATGCGATTTTTGATTATTTTTGCAAAGGTAAGATAATTAAGATACATTAAATAAAAATGATACGAATTCATTGTTAATTCTAGATGCTGGCAATTTTTGTAATGCGGCGCGTTATAAAAGTATTCTGGAAGTCTTCGCCAGTCTCGTCCATGTAACGTGCTGTGCGGAATTATTCAATTACTTTTGCTGTGGAGTGTTTGCTGATGATATCATAAGGTCACAAATGTCCGCAGATGTGCTTATGCTGAGTTACCGGTTAGACATCTATATGCATAAACATCGCTTAATATTTGTAATTGTAACTAAGCTTATTTGTATTTACAGTCTGGAAGAGCAGCAATGCGGCTGGACTGAAAATGCTTTAACAAAAGTGACCAAATATTGGATCAAGTGCAATAATTCATATGCAATCTTCTCGCAGAATCCAAGTCAATTGCACGTAGAACGCATGCTTAAATATTTTCACAATTTAAAAAAATTACATGAGCCACCTGCATTCAATTTACATAACTATCGCTATATTAGCTGTGTATTCGCTAACCAAATTGACAAACATCATTTGTGGGTGATGAAACTGCAACGCCTATTTCAGAGTCCACTGAACGATATTGAACAGTATTACGAAATTGTAAGTATCACAATTTCAATGAAATGATTCTTTGCTAATAACTGTTCCCTGCAGCTTGCTCTAATATCGTTGGTATCGACCTCGTCAAAATATTGGTTGCTGAACTTGCCAACTGGCTTGAAGGAGCTGTTAGTAAAGGGCACCTATGACCGCTTGAATAACGTGTTTTTTAAGCTGGCGCTTAATACCGATTCAGCTTCAAGACTGCTCATCCTAGAAACACTAATGCCGGCAAAATCTGTTGCCACCAGCTGTTGGTACGGGCAACGCTTTCTGCATATGTGCCAAAAGAGCGGAAATCCGAAGATTATTTCTCTGACAGAACAGCATGTACCTGCCCCAGAGTTGCGCCCACTTTTAGATATGATACAGCCATCGTATTCGTGTCCTAAACCCAACACGGACAGTCCGCAAATTATTTATAACAATCTGGCATATAAGAGTAGACAACCTCATCGTTGCACACAGTCAAACCTAAAACGTAAACGTTCTGAATGTGACTCAAAGAATATTTTGGGACAGCTTCAGCTGAATGCACAACAGTTAAGCTCCGTTGAATTGGATGCTACCGACCTAAAACAGCTAAGTGGTGTTGTTAAAACTTTACAAGATATTTTAACAAAACAGTAGATTTTATGAAATGAATGAATGAAAATATTTGAAATTCTGAATTTTCCAACTTTTAAAGTTTTTTTGGTAATGTCTCTCAATATATGTATTGAATATGTATTGTCTGTATACAGAAATATATTGTATATAATGTTCCGTTATGTCTCATAGATCCCTTGACTTGACTTCATATAGAAATCCCTTTGTCAGACTTTTGAAGTGGTTTCAGATTTTTTTTTTTTTTTTCAAATGGAATGGATTTGTCATGCAGAATTAAATTTTGTTTTTTATATATAATAATTGAGTTATATCTTTTATTTAAAATTGAAACTATTCAGGTAAAAATAGAAACATAATTGATCTAGAGCCACTGGAACAAAATCTAGTGAAATAAATATTTTAAGTATATACATAACTAATGCTAATACGTGACATTTCTATGTTCAAATTTTGCAAATATTTTATCGTACACCACCTGCTGCTCCTCCTCCTGCAACAAGATGCCTGTAAAGCAGAGTAAAGCAGAGCAGTGAGTATTGAGGTCAAGTTTCAGGTGATTGAGTTGAGCGTATTCTCACCTGCAAAACTGGCTGATATGAAGCAGACAATGCTGCCCACGATAAATGCACGAAAAGCCACGGATGTGATCATACCACGACGATTTGGTGCCATTGCACTCAAGGAGCCAATGAGTATGCCCAGAGAGCTGGGATTGGCAAAGCCACAGATGGCAAAGGTAGCGATGCCAGCGCTGCGAGCCTGTGCAAGGATATTGATTAGGGAGCACAGTTAATATTTATACTAAGTTTACTCACTTTAATTTCGTGGTTCTCGATCAGTAGACCCAGACGCTCGTAAGCGACAAATTCGTTGATAATGGTCTTGGTGGCCACCACTTTGGCTATTTTATCGCAATCGGACCAGGGCACTCCCATGGCCCAGGCGAGCGGTATGAAGATCTTGGAGAATATCCACTCAAAGTCCACCTCTTCGTGTCCAATGAGCAAGCCCAGCCAACTGACCAGACCGTTCAGGAAGGCAATGAACGCAACAAAGGCCACAATGTTGGCAATGATGCCCAGGACAATGGGCACGGCATTGGAGGCGCCACTGGACGCGGCATCCAGCAAGGAGGCATCCTCGCTGCATAAGATGAAGAAGAAGAAGAGGTTAAACAGAGATCGTAAATATGTATAATGAACTTACGATTTCTCCAGCTCGATGGTATCGCTAGACGTTTGGCTCACTTCCGTTTCGGGCATATACAGCTTGGAGATGGCCAACGTGGCTGGCGCTGCCATGACCGAGGATGTGATCAGATGCGCAGCAGATGCGCCAAAGGATAAATATGCAGCCAGCACAGTGCCAGAGACGGTGGCAAAGCCCGATACCATAATGCTGTGGATCTCGCTCTTCGTCAGCTTTTGAATGTAGGGCCGGATCAGGAGCGGACTCTCGGACATGCCCAGAAAGATGTTGGCAGCAGCTGTCACGCTCTCGCACACAGTCGTGCCCAATATGGCCTGGAGTATCCAGCCCAGCTTAATGACCACCCATTGCATGGCGCCCAAGTAGTAGAGCACCGATATGAAGAAGCTGAAGAAGAATATCACCGGCAGTATGGCGAAGGCGAACACCTCTTTTTCGATGAGGAAATCGCCAAAAACAAAGCGTGCACCATCTGTGGCATAGCCCAGGAACGTGGCCACCTTATTGCCCAGGCACTCAAAGATCTTCCGGCCCACCTCCCAGCGTATGCAGATGATGCCCAATAGAAACTGGCACGTGATGCCCGTGATGACAATGCGCCACTGGATTGCGCTGCGTTTCGTGGAGAAGACATAGCCGCAGAGGATGAAGAAGCAGGGTGCCACCAAAGAGTACAGCTTCTTTGGCTCGTCCTTTGTCTCGAACACCAAATACACGACCAGCAGTGCGAGTAGCAATACAATGCAGGCAATGGAAACGGCGCTGTTTATGACGGGAGATATCGCAATGGGTTATGGCATTTATATAACTGATATCAGTTATCAAATGATTATTTGAGGACGGCTCACCGCTTTCTTAGGAAAATATGCCATTTGACAGCTGCTGGATGCAGGTAGTTCTTGTGCAAAAACAATCCGAATTTTGGCTTGAATATCAGATAGTAGAACAGGGCCAGGTATATGAAGCCCAATAACAAAACGAGCATGCCATAGCCGGTGCAAAAGCGTATGCCACATAAAGGTATTGAGCTATCATATTTGCAGTCATATTCATCTGTATAAAGGTAGAGTATCTTGATTACAATTGTTATATAAACATATATATATTTATATGGATTTATTTATATGGATGCATATGTATGTATGCTGTATGAGTAAGCAACACAAAGATGCTCGGGTTTTATCTATGGCTAGTGATGTATGCTTAAGCAGATATCCGATTTAATCTTTCAGCTCATTTATTGCTCTTAATCTTAACAAATATTAGTCAGGGCAGAGTTAGAAAAGTATATGTAGGCCTCTTTTCTCATTCACGAATCGAAATGAGCATATTGGTTTACTACAATGTCCGTATAGAAACAAATCATTCCTCAGCTATTGATTACCCTAGATCATTAGGATATATCTACACTCATAGAATGCATTGAAAAACTTATTACTTCAATAAAGTCTGAGAGCTGAATGCTTAAGCTACTGTTGATCTCCTATCGATAATCTAACGTCTCTTTTGGGGGAGTAGCGTTGGGAAAATACTTTCCTTTCCTGGCGCTAAATCGAATATCTCTGATTTGTTTTTTTTTTTTCTCAAAAATGAGTGTAATTGAAAGTTTTCAACTTACTCATRTCATGATAATGATATGTGGCATATGCAAAATAGCCAACGATGGCAATCTGTACAATTAAATGAAGTCCTCTTTTAATCCATTTATTAATTTCATTGTTCTCTTGCGTTTCTCTCCGATCAACACTGAGGTCGTGATCATGGCTATAATCAACTTGATAATCAGTCTGCAAATAGAAGTGTGACATGTATATACATATATGAACTAATCAAGAAAGAATTGCTCATGCTTGGCTTACCTTATTAAATTCTGGATTTGATCTTCCTAGGTCAGTCTATTAGAGAAAGAAATAGAGGTAAGTCTTTTATTTATAGTTAACTGCTGTAGATTATATACACACATGATCCAATTCATACGCATTGTTGTTGACGCCCATTGATTCTTTATCGCCCATCTAGAATTATATAAACTTGTTTCGATAACATTAAGTTTGAAGAGCGTGCCTTATTACTTAGAGCATTCTTTATATAGTATATATATTCCTAATCTGCTATCGATGTAGGAAATTACGATTAGTAACAATTCGGCTAAGTCCACTGAATATACCACAATATTTTGGCGATAACTGGGGGTCGCCATAAACGTCAACACGTGGATAGCCATTTTGATTAAAGAGGGTGCACTTGACCACACTTGTAACACTAAAACCTCTTTCAAATCTGCTCGCTTTCAGCTAACATCGTAAATGCTTCCCTTTATTTCTAACATATCGCAAATCAGAATGAAGTCAACGATTGATACCATAAATTTGTTGTTAACATTGCTATTAATCAGAATGAACAGTTTATATCAGTTTAGTCAGAATTGTATATCACAACAAGTAAATCTCTAGTTGGTTGTTCCTGATTAGAAGATACCCTGAAGTACGCCCGATATCACATTTAGCAAAACTATTTCCCATTTTGCAATTTGTTTCCTTCTGGCTCTTTAATTATTGAAATATTTCTATAAGATTTTGTTACATAACGCAGGAACAGTTTTGTATTACTACGTTTTTTATACACATATTTAATTTACTTTTGCTTTTGTAGTTTATTAAATTTAGCTTAAGGTGCTGGCAGGAAAAAGCTGTTAACTGCTGAGGGTGCTTAACTATACTGAGTTAAATGTAAATACCTATGCATGCATAAATACACAAACCACACTCAGCCATAGGCTCACTCACACCTGCGGAATCCAATAGCATGTGTATCACTGAAAAGTGAGTATGCCTTGGTTAAGTGCACTTTAGGTGATAAATCCGTAATTATAGTAACAGATGACAATTTTAACACAGTTACCAGCGCAAGTGCAATTTAAATCAAATCGAATCAGAAAGAGTATTATACCCCTAAAAGGTCTTTATGGCATTATCGATAGTAGGATAATTTGGAATTTAGTTGAATACAGTGTAATCAGATTTCACATGAATTGTAAGCCTTTCAGTTTAAAGCCTGAATTTAAACATTGCAAAAGTTCCGAAATTAATTAACACTTCAACAGCCCCGAAGTTTTTATTCAAATAGGCTATTCAACAACAAATTAAAATCGAATTGGAAAAAAAAACTTTATTGCTGCTCTTATACTCATTCACGAAAGTTAAATGAGTATATAGTTACTTTTTATAGATGGAACTGAGGTCTATCTGTATAGGGGTAACGGTGAGATCGACGGATAGACAGTCAAACGGCCTGAGTTCGATCCACTTAGTTCGTCCTTCCGTTCAAGATTATATGTATATACTTTATGGAAAATGTAATTTATAACGGATCAATAGAAAATAGGGGTCTGAAATTAGCTAAAGATAGTGTAATCAGATTTCACATGAATTTCGTCCCTCATAAATGCTAACCTTCTTAGATTAAAAGCTGTGAAACATGAAATTAATTAACCCTTCAAGTTTGTCGCAAATATTGATAATTAATTTTCAGCCTATAATTCTCATTACAATGGGCAATTCCACACTGAATTTCCAAGCAATGCTGCCTTTGTATAATTTCTTTAAAAAGTTCGTAAATTATCAAATCGAAAACAGATGCTCGTGTCGTGTGTCGACACACACATGTGCTTATATACATATCGGGTGAACAGTATTTTGCAGTCATGAAAATATTTATATATATATTTTTTTTTCTTCAATAAATATTCATGTTTTTTTATTGAGGTAAATCACCTTTTTTATAACTAGATAATTATCTGTTTGTTTTTATTTTTGCTTTTGGATAGCCGCAAACACGTTTCACACAGTCAGCGCGTAAATTTACAACCTTCACTTGGTTATTTTTGTTTTATTATATTCCAGTTGGCAGTTAGATTTTAACTGTATATCTGTTTGTATGTATGTACACTGACATATGCATACAAATTGACGGCTAAGTCAGTTGGCAAAGGAATCATCAGTCGAGCTGTAAGCGTACCGAATCCATATTAACTGTTCAAATGCCGCGTTAAGACTAAAACCTGTATCAGCCCAAAAGTCGTATAATATATGTTAGCAAAACACCTGTTACCTGTGAGCGGGTATATTGGCTAATAAGTGCGAAATGTTCGAACTAGTTAATACTGATTTCTATTAAGGGCAATCAAACGTACTCAGTCTGCCCTCTCCTAACTATACAGTTAGTGCAGAGTATTCGAGTGGCCATGCGACTTTTTGCTTAGAATGTGCTTTAATTCTAGCTAGTTGTTGGGCTTATCAGCGGACGAAGTAGCATTGTTGATATTATCGGGAGATAACTTGATCACGTCATACAACTCTACAAAATAACTTTGATGTGTGCAGAGTAATGAATAGAGAGTTAAGATGGGAGACAGACTAACAGAGAGAGAGAGAGGGAGAGAGAGACCAAGAGAGAGAGAGAGAGAGTAAATGGGAGAGAGTGTGTATGATCGATACAGTGAGCTATGGCTTAAGGCTATGCATATTAATTGTGCGTGAATAAATAAATAGCTAGAACTGTCGCGTAATCGCATTTGATTGCATGATATGCCAATCTGTGGTGGGCATCTGTTATCATTATATATACATATAGTTGTATATATGGATATATAGGCACAAGTTCAGTGCTTCGAGTGGTGGATTATCAATAGTAATGTGATTTCATGACATCTTATCGATGCACTTAAGTATTGCTCTAACAATTATCTGAAAAGTATATTTATAGATAATAAACACTTGTTAAATATTGGTTGTCAATTGATTTTGCAATTTTTGCCTTTTTTTATTATAATGTGTGTGCGTATAGGTAATATATTTGTTATTGTATTTTATATGCCAAGCAGTTTTTTAAACATATTTTTTGTTATTTATTAACTTAGTTACGTTCGTTTTTTTTTCGGGGCTTGGGTTACAATAATATTTGTTTTAAGTTTAATTAAGTAAAATATATATGTATTAAAAACATCATGAGCGAATTTAGAATTTATTGTTTTTATACCCATTTACGAAAGTGAAATGAGTATTATTTTTTTTTTTTTTCATTGAATATTAATATAAGCTATATACAAACATTTTGGAGATTAAATAGAGTCGAATTTGGACTTGCACGTTTTGTGGCTATATTAATAAGGAAGGCACTGTTTAAGCTAGTGACTTAAATAACAAAGCGTGTTTCGGCATGTGAGTGTGACTGTGTGTGTGTGTTTGTGTGTGTGTGTGTGTGTGGGCTTATGCATATATATATGTGTGTATTTATCAACTGTATGTAGGCTCGTATAAATACTCATGGGTTTCTGTTTTAACCTACAGTAATTAATTGCATTGGCTTTGCAAATACTCATACATACATATGTGTGTATATATATAAGTTTTTATATATATATTTTTAGTTCAACTATTTGCTAGCAAGGTTTAAATGCTTGATTAATATATGGTTTATAGATACTTTTCAATATATTTATTTATTTATTTTACTTTTATATATTCGTATCGAAATTAGTTTTGAGGTTCCAACAATTCTATGATAATTGAAGCAAAAAATTCGCAAAATTCAACCACATCTAAATCACAGACTCCTAATATAAGAGAGATTTACAAATATAAATATACAAAATATACTCTCAAATCAAATACAAATTTCGAGTAATTTGTCAAAAATATTGTAACTTAAAAGATAACATTATTTCTTTTCGTTTTTGTGTTTTGTTTTTCTTTAACATAAATTAAAAATAATAATAATATAAAATAAAGAAATTAATGCATGACATGGAACTAAAAACTAATTAAGTCAACTGGCCCTAAAGATAAAAAAAAAAATAAACAATAAACTATAAAAGACCAGCATGTAGGACATGGAACGGTGAATGCATGTGCAATTGTATTGATAATATGAGTGTGTGTGTGTGTGTTTRTGTGGCCTGGCCCAAAATGAGCTTCATATTTGAATCTAATCTACTCTTCGTTCTGCACCACATGGCGATGCTTGTGTTGATGGTGATGATGATTGTGGCTCTGATGATGACGATGATGATGATGATGATGATGGTTATGATGCGTTCGCAAGTGATGCTGTGTCTCTGCTGACTGCTGAAACGATTCTTCAGCCTCCATAGATGCGCACTCTACGCTCTGATGATGATGACGTCTRCGATGATGATGAATTTGCTCCCTCTGCTCGCTCTCGTTCTCGCTGTTCTCCAAATTGTTGTCAATTGTTGGTGAATTTAATGTGGTCGCCTCCGCATTGAGGTGCTCTCGACTGCGTGATGGATTGAGCACCTGGCTCTTGAGGTTTTCCAGTTTGCCATTGGTTCGATTCTCAAAGCTCTTTTCCGTCAACAGTCCGTTGCCCAAGAATCTCACGTCTAGTCTTGGGCATCTGTGGGAGGGAAGGGGGAATTATATTTTAGAATGGGCAAATGAAATGAACAGTTAAAGTATTTATAATAATTCTTTCATTATTTAAATCTAATATGAAAACTTTTTCTTTGCAATGAAAACTTTCTGTTTTTGCTTTTATATATTATAAACGTTTTTATATATTATCATTAATAGTTTTTTAAAATTTATTTTATTTTTTATTATTATTATTAATTCACTAGCCGTGACCATGATATAATTAATTTTTCATTTCCGCTCGAAAGTAGGCAACACTTTTTTGTACGCTTCAATGGAATATCCGCAAAAACTATTGCCTACTTTTCGATGTTTTACAAAAATGTATAATATATGATATTTTATTTAGGCGCGCTTTGGATCGTTTCAAATCAGCTGCCAATTTTTTTTTTTTTAAATTGTGAAAAATTTGATGTGATTTTCGTTCATGCTTACCGCGACAGCGTGTTGTTTTCCATATTAGGCATAGGCGTCGCTGGTCCGTAGACGGACCACGGGACTGCAATATCTGTAAAGTACATTGAAAATGCAAGATTAAGCGATGCAAAGTACTTCAAGTTGCATGCAATATTCAACTGAACAACAAAACCAATTCAAAACAAAAAAACAAAAGAAATCAGAAAAAATAACAACAATAACAAATTTACAGGCGAAAATATTGAGCAATCATGCAAGTCGGCGACGACTAACGCTTAGCGAGTTTCTCATAGCAATAATATCGGCACGAATAAAACAACAATAGCAAGAGCAACAGCGAGAGCAAAGAATAATGAAACATAAGGCGGATGCTGCATAAATAGCAGCCGCTTTTAACCTACGCACCACGGTGCGTATGAGCAATTTGCATTAGTAGCAAGCGAGCGAGCTGCATGTATGCGTGTGTGTGTGTCTGTGTGTGTCTATGTGTGTGTGTGTGTGTGTGTGTGTGTGTGTGTGTGTGTGTGTGTGCATATCTTACCAACCATAACTGGCGACACGAATACTACTGAATACTATGAATATTTTGGCATTTGTCTGTATCCGCTAGTAAAATTTCTATTTATTTACTCATGAAGGGGCAACGAACGAATTGCGCACTTTGTGAGCGCCAAATCGAAACCAAAAGTTGTAAAGAATGAAATTTGCATCGGCAAGACGGCTGCACATCTAAAACGTGCTCAACATTTATTTCAATATTCAATGTGTGTATATATAATACACCTAGGTATATGGATAGGTATTGAATTATTAAGCTTGTCTTTTTTCTTTTTGTTCTTTTTTTTTTTTTTAGTATTTCTTTTGGAATTTGTGAATTTGCAGTTTTTCCCAAGTCTCGCCGTTTGCTGAGCTCGTCAAAATTGTGACGACGAACTTTTAATACGAGTTTTTTACGCTTGCGATTTCATAGCAATTGCAAAATATACACTTTTTTTTTTTTTATAGCCTCAGTTGCCTCAAAAGAGCAAGACAGAGAGAGAGAAAGAGACAGAATGAGTGTAAGCGTAACAAACTGAAAGGCTGCTAAATTATTGAACTTGTTGAAACGTAAATAAATGCGCCTGATTATGTCATACATTTGGGGGCCTGGCCGGAAGTCGAAAAATTGGCTATATCGAGGGCTGACGGGGGCAATGAAACGGGCGACCTCGTCTTCTTTGATGTTCCACACATGTCTTTGGGCAGTTAGTTAAAGCTTGGCTAACAACACGCTTACCTGCCTGAACGCAAGTGGGTGGCTGAAAGTAGAGGCCCGGCAGCAGCTGATTGTCCTCGTCGTCGTGCACCTCAATCATCAGCAGGCCCACCTCAATGGGCAGATGTGAGTGCTGTGTTGGATGTTGCTGCTGTTGTTGTTGCTGCTGCTGTTGCTGTGCCCAGTAGGTGAGCGCGCACTTGACATCGATGTCCACCCAGCCGGTCTTGGTGCTGCTCAGCATGATGGTGTTGCAGGTGCGCTTCTTGCGCTCTGTGAGAGACGAGAAGATTTTGAGTGACGATACGGGGTTAGTTTTTGGCTAAAGAGGCCCGTTATGGCTGGGGACTTCAGGTACGCACCTAACTTACGTTTCTTCTTCTGCTGATGGACAATGTAGACGGTGACGCGTATCTGCGACTCGAGGTAGGGCTCGCGACAGGACGGCGTCGTGGCGGGCATTGGCTCCACGTTGCCGCTGCCGCTCGCTGCTGTGGCTGGCGCGGCTGTTGTTTTATCAGCCGGATTTATTTTGTACAGCCGCAAAATGGCGCTGTCTAGGATCAAGTTATTGTTGCCGTATTGCTGAAAGACGCTGCTGGCGAATTCCAACGTCACATTGCTCGACTGCTGCCAGTTGCTGGGCGTCGTCTCGCTGTTGCATATGGGATAGCCGGCCTTCTCGTGCGACGGCTGATTCAGCTCGGCCTGCTCCGCCTGGCTATCATTGACATCCGACTTGGTTACAGCGATGCGTATGCGTGAGCGTATCTCGTTAATCCTGCAATTTGCAAATGGCATCTCGTTTTGTTTAATCTATGACTATGACTATGACTACGTCTATGACTATGACTGACAAACAAACTATCTAACTAATTTGGCTCAAGTGTTTATGTAAAGTCCACTTAATTGACATTTGAGCGTTGTCGTAACTGGCGCACCACTACAACCACAGGCAACTAGTTAGCCGCTGCTCGCGGCTCATAAATGAAAACGTGCCATTTAGCGCTGCTTTATAGCGCATTGATTCAATTTATTCAGACAGAGACGGATCAACGTGGATGTCTAGTTCTTTATAAGCTAATTCTTTTCGGTTTATTTTTGTTGTGGAAATTGGGTTGTGTGTTTTACGCGTGTACCGAACTCAAAGCAATAGAAACTCGCCTCAGTGTGTGTGTGTGTGTGTGTGGGAGCACTGATAGATGCTGAGATTTCTCAAAGCGAAAAACTAACAGTTTTCTGAGAATTCATAATAAAATGTTTTAAGTGTGGAAAATGAGTTTCTCTCGCTGATGATAAATAAAATAAATGTTTTCCAGCAACTAAATTTGAATGTAGATTTTGGAATGTCTTTGCCCTTTAAATTAGGTTTAGTTATTTTTGTCTAGTTCTAGTTCTAGTTCTAGTTCTAGCTCTGCGACAGGTCTAAAGTCTCATTCAATTAGTAAACTACGCATCCATACTACGAATCAACTGGCTTGAGATACTATTTTGTAGTAGCAGATACAAATGTATCTAATAAATAATAGACAGCAGTGAAGGCAGATGAAGTTCAGCGCCGTTGTCACTTAAAAAGCTAATGATTGCTGACCAGTAGACAGACAGAAGTAAGAGAGTCAGAGGGAGAGAGGGAGGGGGAGAGGCAGTCAGAGTGAGGAGTAGCAACAATAGTTGGCGCATATCCAACTGTAGCTATGATCTAATCTGGCACAAATACAGCCCCACAATGGGACAATTGTAGCTGTAGAGTGCGGGTGTGTGCGTGTGTCTGTCTGTGTGTGTGTGTCTGTCTGGATCGGTAATTGAGACGCGCTTTGCAAAAGTTGCGCATAAAAATTTTGCGCAGAAAGACAACTACTCAAAAAAATGCCCTGAGGTCACGCCCTTTACAAAAAAAAAAAAAAAAAAAAAAAAAAAAAAATTAAAAAAAAAGCCAAAAATAATGTTGAAAGGGGCAGCCGAAAAAAAAGGCAAAATCAAAACAAAACTGTTGGTCATGCGGCCAATAAATAAGACTGTAAAATATCATAAATATAATTTGGTTGCTGTTTATTGTTGTTGTTGTTGTTGTTGTTGTTGTTGCTCTCGAGCTGATTGCTGCCTGCGGCGCATTTTGTCTAGCCAAAATAATTATGGGAACATGCACTGAAAGTGAACCAAGCCAAAACCAAAGTCGTAGCCAAGCCAAGAGAGGCCACAGACGCCGTTGGCTTATTATCGCACTTGTGTCTATATATATCGCTATGTAGATATGTATGTATATATATATGCTTATACTTATGCTTATAGAATGTGCGATCGAGCCAAAGCATGCCTGCCAGACAAAATGGCCCGCTGAGGAGTTACGTTTTGACTGTCTGCTAACTGCTGTGGCATGAACTTGAAAACTTGTTGTTGTTGTTGTTGCTGTTGTTGTTTGACTTGCGGCTGTAGCTGTTCAGCATTCGATGTTCAGCGCGAGCATTGCTGTTGCTGCTGCTGCTGCTGCTGTCTGTCTGGGGCCTGTCTAGACGCCTTGTTGTACGAGGTTGTGGCTTTTTATTGGCTAGGCTAGAGGCAGCCGTTGCAGCCTGGGCCAGCGGAGCCTTAGCCTGCACATATTGGCGTGAATCACGCAGCTGCCAAGCAGTTGGGCCCCATTGAGCATGCGCCGAGGATTTTTCGGTCGGGGCACACAGGTGAATCTCTGGCCTCCATTTGGTAGCCATTTCCAGTTGGCAATCTTGAGTATTACTTAAGCTGTTGCTCGTTGCGTGCATTCCGAGTGCATCTTTTAATGAAATTCAAGCGCCCCTCATGTACGCTCAGTCCCACCTTGACGTCTACCCTGGCTTTGTGGTTGGTTTRTTGCAGCTTCTGGTTTTGCTTTTCTTTTCTTTTTTTCTTCCTCTTCCTTTTCTTCTGTTTTTGCTTGTGCTTGCCCCGTCTGTGTGCGTCTCGGCATCGTCGTCGTGCGTCTTGCCTACAAGTCATCTCGTCTGGCTGACTGCCACTGCCACAGCCACAGCCACAGCTACAGCTACAGCCAGTCTGTGCCGCAGCCGCAGCCTCAGCTCCAGCCTGTGTGTGCGCATATACAATGCGCGGCTAGACAGTGTCTCGCCGGCTGCACTTCATTATCATGCGTCGACGAACAGTAGTCGTAGTCGCAGTCCGTCGTCAGTCGTCCGTCGTCAGTCGTCTGTTGTCCGGCTTGCGCGTCCGTCCGTCAGTCCGTCAGTCAGTCATTCAGTCAGAAAACTCAGACAGTGACTGGCAGACCGTAGACCGCGTCGCTTAGTGGCCACAAAACATACGCCTACAACTGTTTGCACTGCTGGGCAACAGGGGGCGCTGCAGGCAGCCAGGAAAGGCGCAAGGCGAGGGCGCCTTGGGGGGAGGTAGGAAACCAAGTCTACAAGTCTGAGTATCAGCTTTGAGTAGCCAAGTCTGGGCAAACATATGACCATGTCTCAATATTACTCATACGTCATAATTATGACTGGCGAGCGGTTTCTGTCTGCGCGCAGCCAGCCAGCCAGAGCAATCAAACAAGCAAAAGAAAAAGAGAGTTATGCGTTGGCACAACGAAGCTGAAATACCCTGAGGATAGATATTGTGGAGTATTGATATGGGAGAATCGATAATATATATAGAGAATACGAGTTGCGATTGGGACAAATTATATACAGCAACAGAAGCAACGGAATAGGAGCTGAAGGGAAGCAAAGGGAAGGGTATTGGGTGGGAAAATATAAATTGGTTAGAATTGCTTGAGTTATCTTAGAAGATAATTTACTTTAAAGTAAGGTATAGGTTTTTCTAAATTTATATAAAATATATGAATTCGAACTTCTCTTTAAGAACTTTCGTGACTCTATGCAATAGTTATGTAATCCGCTCATCTACTCTGTTTCTTTATAGGCATCGTCTCGTTAGCTCTTGCGTTAACTATTTCATATATGTAGCTATGTGATCTGTCTATTTACACTATTAAGCTGAGAAGCTGGCAGCGCGCTTTAGCATGAGACAGCAGCTGCAGAAGACGTTTCGGAATGAATTGTTAATTTGGTAGATCGGCTACAATTATGAAATATCTAATGGGCTAGCAAAGAATTTCGCATTTCCTGACATACCTGAAATACCCTATAAATCATTTAACAGTATCTGTGTGGCTGAATATTAATCAAATGCTTGATTGGGCGCAGTTTGTTTATGAAACGGAGCAACAAGAATATCACATTATAAATATATATGTCTATGTATATGTATATGTATATGTTTATATTTATGCTTGTCTACCCATGGACTGCATGTGTCTCGCATAGCAACGACCTACAAAAAGTTCATTAACGGAGCCAGCTAGACATGGCCCAGACTGTTCCCAGACATTTTCCAGACAGCTGGCCGCATGGACGTATACAAATACGCAGAGGCCAGGCGGCGGCGGAATTCGCTGCAATTGCAGCCAGTTCGTCTCAGTGTGTCTGTGTGTGTGTGTGTCTTTCTGCTTTGTGCAGCAGTGCCCGCCAGTTGTAAGTAGTATCTGATAGACAGGCGCAGATACAACGATAAACGGCCACAGATACAAATGCAGTCACAGCTCAAGCTATGGATGTGACTGTGCAGAGTTCGCCTTCTGGCACCCCCTTGCGTCTAGGGTCTGTTGTTGTTATAGGAGACACAGCGCAGCTTGGTCTAGTTGAGACAGGTGTTGACAGCCGTCAATCAAGCAGTCGCTGGCTGGCTGGCCAAGCGGTATGCTTGGAATCTTCAGCAAACAATCAGCTTATCAGATCAGATATAGCTGAAGAGCGAGGGGGGAGGTTTCGAGTTCGAGTTCGGGTTCGGGCTCGGGTTTAGCAACACGTGCAGAAAGAAATCTCATTTACATATATCATATATATATATATTTATAGTATTAGCTTAAAATTGCACACATGTGTTTATTGTTTATTAATTTGGACGTTTGGCATTTGGAAAATCGTGTTAAATGTTAAGCGAATTGAGGCGCAAAGCTATATACTACATCTATATAGAATATAAATATATTCATATATTGTAGAGTATATAAACTGTTTTGTGGGGTTCTTGGCCACATTAGTGAAATGCATATGGCTTTAACCTTGAATTGCTTCAATTGATTTTGTTTTTGGACAAACAATGTTCGCCACACAGCAATTTGGCCAATTCTTAAAAATTTCTGTTTATACGTCAAAATGTGGAAAATATTTAATTGGAAAGTGAAAAAATGCCCACAATTTCGTGTTTCGGCTATTGTTCTAAATTTACAATTGTTTTATATATATAAATATAACAATTCTTTTTTTTTTTTTTTGCTGAGAAATGCTCTTAATATTTTTAAGTTTCTATTTTTATTTGCTTTCAAGTTTCACTTTTTTTTTTTGTGCGGCAACAAATTATGATTGACAGCTTGCTGGCCACGCATTGGGCACACGCCGTTAGCTGGGGCTGGGGGCTATTCTGCTCTCTTAACTGTTACTTACCGTTGCCTGGCAATTTGATCCAGCAAATGGTTTTTGTTCGCCTGTGTGGCCTCGTCCTTGGCAGCTGGATTGCTGCCGCTGCGTATGCGATTCACCTGCTCCTCGGTCAGATTGAACATGCCCCAAATCGTGCGATTGTTGGGATCGACCACCTCAGAGCGCACATCGCCGTCCATGAAGGCGGAGCGATTGATGCGTGCCGCATCGCAGGACATCATCAGCAGCTGCAAGAACAGCAGCAGCAATAGCAATCGCCGACCGCACAACACAATACTCGACATTATATAGGTTTATTCTCTGATTCTTTTAATCTGTTTCAACTGTATGAAATGCAAGTTCTGGGCAAAAGTTTTCAAGTGTTTCAGTGCACTATTTTGACAACACTTTTTAAGCCAACACAATAATTTCCACAATAATTGCAGACATAGTTTTTTATTGCCTTTCTTTTATAGAAACACGCTTTTCGCTGGTCAAGCTATTATAATGTTTTATTTTATTTTATTTTATTTTTTTATTTGGTTCACTACCGCATAAATCTCAGAGTTGGTTTGATTTTATTTAAAATAATTTGCATTTATTTTCTTTGGATTTATTTGCCTGTCGATGTGTTCACTCTAAGAACCAAGTATGAAGTGATTTGCACGAGTCGTTTTTTAGTCTTAAATAAGAAAATATTTGGTTGTGCCGGGGCATACCTACTTTGTTATGGTCGTAAACGCGCGCCTGCACTGCAAGAAATTTTTGTTGTTGCAAAGTTGACGAATGCCGCATGCAATTAAAAAAGATTCAATTGAGCACTTTGAGTAAGTTTTTTTTTTCCAAAAGTTTTCTTTATGTAAAAATAGAGTTTTAATTGTTTGAATTGCAGAACATTTTGCAGACAGCATAAAGAAACTTATTTTAAACTCTGTTAAGTGATAGAGATTAAATATTCTGAATTTGGTAAATTATTTAAATGTTGCATGTTATAAATAAAAAGCATTTGTGAAAAATATATATGAAATATTTGAGAAAAAAATTATATATGTTTTTAAACATTGTTTTTTTTTTGTTTTTTTTTTTTTTGTTTTTCT